AATTTAAAGAACTAGCAAATCGGGTTTGGCAATATTGCAAAACCATCACCGGATACGGCTCGAAGAAGACGCTGTATCAATCCACCGATATAGGTATCTAGAAGTATGGCTTGGCTTAACTAGCTTGGTATATATGGTATCTGGGATAATATACGGTACAAAATGTGGTGCCGATCGCATGAGCAGCCAACTAAACACGCAAGGTGAATTTAAGGGTTTTAAAAAGCGAAAAGAAATAAATGTATTTTTAAATATATGAACTCTAGCATTCCCTGTATTGAAACGCTTCTATATTGTTCTTAATGTCACAGCTATTTAGTTAATTACTATTTAATTATTCAAAAGCGTAAGAAAACTCCAAGTTGATGGAAAGGTAGTTTTTATTCCTTTCGTAACAGTCTACTTCAACACATACAGGAGGTATTTTACACCACTTGAACCAATTTCCATCGCGTCGAAATCACCGAATTTGATTAAAAAATTGCAAATCAACTTTAGGGGGCAAAGATCACTCTGCATATTTTTTTATCATTATACCCAACCACACCCCCTTCGAAAATTTTGGAAGAAAATTAGGAAAAATGAGAAAGTTAATGTACACTCGAGACACGAAGAATTAGACCTTAGGTTGCATTTGACATTTCAATCCCCCATGAATACGAAAATTTTAATGCATCACAAGTTTCAAAATTCGAAAATTCGCGCATTTTTCACCTACACATAAATCATTAAAAAAGTCATGGTCCCAGTCATTTCACTTCTGACAACCTGATGCCAGATTTTTCTACTTGGGAAGAGCTTTATTTTCAGCTTTTGTTGCCAGAAGTGAAATGACTGGGACCATGACTTTTTTGAGGGCAAAGTTCCTGCGGGGGCCATCTTATATAGCAAGTGCCGTAGCAAACTTTTGGCCACAAATGCAGATTCAAATCGCCCCAAATTAAAGATTTATATGAAAAAATCATGATAACAGTAAAAGGTTATCATGTTTTTATTTGCCCAGAATTAATTTAATCCTGCAGGTCAAAGTGCGACACATACGGCACTGTCGTAAACACAGATTCTGGTGGTGGTGGGTACACGAGAATCCAAGATTCACGCTGAATATGGAAATTGGTATTCTGGTACACTTAGGAGGAAAGCTTGTGAGCCATATCATACTAAGGGGAGCTTGTGAGGGTGTCAATGACCGATCGGCTTGCAATTTTTACCACTGATAGTTCGACATGAGTGAACCTTAACCCTTGAAGGTTTTGACTCCATGGCCGTAAACGGCCGAGAAATATATTTCGAAAGTTTCAAATTTTCACCTCAAGAGATGCCATTCTATCTGAGCTCACTCAAGTTCTATGGGGAGGATGTTGTAATGCTTATAAGCATTGGAATTTTGAAATTGAGCCAGTCTTGCAACTCTTCGCCGATTTTCAAAATTCAAAATGTTTTGGAAACTTTAGGTCATGGGCTAAAATATATAATTTCAAATTTTTGAAATTTGACCTCATTCGCCTGCTACCAAGGTCACAAGGTCAAAAAGTCACCACATTTCCATGGTTCGTAAAAATTGGTTGTCATCAAATTTTATTGAAAATTTCGAAATTCGACAACTTGGGGAGTATCAAAATATGACCCGTGGGGCTTGTAAAAATTGTGGGTATGGCTGGGGGTGTGGAAAAAATAAATCAAGTTTAAATTACTGAATTTTACAGCTTGGGGGTCGAAAAATATAAAAATCCTTCTAGGGCCACACTCTCTGACGAGGTTTACATTAGCGGAATAGAGGAATGTTTTCATCCATCAACCAACCAACTAATATTGAAAGTTATGAATTCTTTAAATACCCACGAAGGGTAACCATGATATTAAGACGGATCATGGCCCACACAAGAATTGTGCAAATTACTCAATTTATATTTGAGAGCACTATGTTGTTTGAGTAATAAAGGGCCACTTTACATATATCCAAGCTTTTGAGATTTTCCTACAAATTATTGAAATGAATTTACTCAAATGGAATAAATTATTTGTGAATGGGGGTCTGAAAATTCAGCATTTAAAAATCCACCCCCTTGATGTGGACCGTTATATGAATTTTGATTTTGAATTTGAACAACCTCCTATGCGTGACATCATTCACAGGTGAGGGATAAATTATAGAAAAATGATAGTGAATAATTCAGCAAAAAACATTCCATCAAAAAATATTTAGATGTGGTTTTATTGCTAGAATATATTTTCGCACATGTCAGTCAAAATAATTAAGTTTTTATTTTATCATTATTCATGAACTTACAACCATCATTGTGGCTGTCGGAAAACGCGATTGTTTTAATCAATATAGAAAACCACAGTTGTTTGTGTATCAGAATGGAACCCGCAAAAGTCACCAAATCTTACAGAATTGAATGTCGTTAGTCTACCTGAGTACTCATCCACGTGCGAAAAATAAACAGCTGGAACAGTTGGAGGTTTCACTATACAAATTGCAGTGCCAGTATGCGACTCTAGTTCGAACAGAGTAAAATGCATCCCAAAATGAGTGCACACATGAAAACGGTGGTTCTCCAGCAATCTCACGCTCCGCCCTCCTCTCAATGTCTGTTGAACGCAGGGCCGTAGTACGGAGTGGTGACAGAATTTCATGTATTTATTATAAAAAAATAATTTAAATTGCCAGCACTACGGCACTAAGCGAGAAGTCTCATTTTTTTATCATTTCGCTCCAACATTTCCATGTGGCGGTTCAAAATTCAATTTAAGCATGCCAGCGTACACAACCTATGTGCACAATAAACTATAGCTTTCATTGTCACTTAGGTTGTTTTCGAATTAAGAAGCGAAGTCACTTAGGTTGTTTTCGAATCTAGATTCCAATGCACTTACGTCGTTTTAGAAGTAGTCCGACGATATGTAGTTTCAGCATAGTTCACAGCGCTGTCCCGTATGAAAATCGTGTCACATTATGCATAATGCTGCGTATGCGTTGTGCATAATGGTCTATGCAGAAAAAAATATGTATGATTGTGCATACAATTTCTGTCGGTTAGTTTGTGCATAATCGTCTGTGCATAATTATGCATAATTCGACATATTTTATGCATATACCACCCGGCATAAATTTTTTGTGCATAAAATCCAGCAAAATTTTGTGCATAAAATCCAGCCAATTTTGTGCATAAAGCTGGCTAAAATTTTCACCTGGGGTATTGAACCCACCTGTGCAGTATCATATAATTTCGTGAGTTGCGAAATTGTTTGCCTGATTTGTTTTCCCGATAAACTCACCCCCCATTGCCGCAAAATTTTTGGGACATCCCGAGAAGGTTTAGGGCTCCAGGTGCTGGATCATTCAATCGTAGTTTTATGTCTAGGTAGGGATCACATTGAATTGTAATTTTAAATGTAACGGTGAAGGGATTAATTGCTTTGCTGAAAGGTCTCATTTTACAGCCTGATTGTGTTTGATTAAGGTGTGAAAAATTTTCGCAATGCTGGAACCCCCTTCCTCGGTCCGCCAAACAACAATCACAATTTTTTTGCAGCAGAATTAAAATTTATATTAAAATAATTAGGTCAGCGTTGAAAGATTGGGACAAGCCATCATTCAATCATTATTTGCGAGACGGGTTGACCATGCTATTTTTGGATTGGATGAAATTACTCGAGGTAGGACATCCACTCTAGCGTATGTAGAGATTTGAATAATATTTGGCACGGACAATTGCGTCCGTGTGCTAAATATTATGGAATTCACTCAATTCACCGTCAATGTGTGTCAGGTTAATCGAAACAATGGAATCGTATGTAGTTGGAGATGCTCAGATTATGTTATGTATCACGTACCATTATAATTATTTAATAAATCACGCTACACATTTTGTTGGCTTACATATGTACATTCATGGGTTAATATCTTTTGTAATGCTGAGAAATAATACTCTAACTTAACTAAGCTATGATTCCAAGGGTTTGAGAGGGATAATTAAGTTTGCAATTTTTCATGTATGAGGTCAGTGAATTGAATGGTGAATAATGATGTGATAACTGTGCTAGTGTTTTTTGGTGGAATGATAACTTTGTGTGGATAATATGTGGTGGATTTATAAAATGAACAGGCAGGAGACAAGCTGAATAATTACTAATTTAAATTGAGATGTTTACTTGGTCAGAATTGCTTTAAATATTTTTACAAGAGAATTGTGTAGGTACATATGGGAAAAATAGCCAATTGAGAGAATAATGTTGACTGGTCGGTAGCTAAATCATGACTCCCCGAGAGAGAGCTCGGTCTCCTCGAATTACATATTGGTACAAGACAGGTGGAAAACATGTATGTAAAAATAATGACATGCATACATACACACTTTTCATATTCATGGTTAAACGTTATTAACACCGCCCACCTTGTAATACCTCGTCACAAAAAAATGAAACTGTGAATTATATTGAAAATTCAAAATTGAAAGTTGATTCGAAATGAAATTTGGGATCATAGTCATATAAGAAAAATATTAATCCGTGAAGTAGTGACAAGCTTGAAACCTCAGCCTAGCTGCAGTCGGATTCGAATGTTCTTGCATAACCGAACTGTTTAGGAGTTTAGTCCCACGCCGGAATATGGAACGACGAAGTCAAACATGCAGGTTCGGCGTTGGAGTCGTCTTGTAACTAGGAAAAACAATACAATCAGTTAAATGAAATTAAAAAAAAGATTACTTGTCATTGCATGGTAAAATTGGACTTAGTTTAACAACAGGGCGTTTCAACTCGGTTTTTGCTGTCTTTACGGTGACCACTCTGACCAAGGCGTCTGCGCCTGGATGGACTTCGGTGACTCGAGCTAGTCGCCACTTTGCTGGGGGAAGATCGTCGTCGTGAATAAGGACAAGATCGTCTATTTGTAGATTGTTCCGCTTTTTCGCCCACTTGAATCTTTTTTGTAGAGTCTGTAGATATTCATTTCGCCATCTCTTCCAGAAATGTTGGGTCATGTGTTGAACATGTTACCATCTCGATAGTTTATTGGTGTTGATATGAGTGACGTCCGGATCCGCGATGGAGTTAAGCGGCCGTCCGATGAGGAAATGACCTGGAGTTAAGGCCTGTAGGTCTCCTGGGTCTGGTGACATTGCGCAGAGAGGACGGGAATTTAGGATGGATTCCACTTGACATAATAAGGTTGCAAATTCTTCAAGGGTGAGATGTGCGTTGCCCATTACGCGACGAGTGTGGTACTTGACCGCTTTGACGCCGGACTCCCATAAGCCTCCGTGATGTGGTGATGAGGGGGCGTTCATGTGCCACGAGATACCTTGAGCTGCTGCTCCTTCCGCCACGTTTTCATTGAACTCAGTAAGGTAAAATCCTTCTAACTCCTTATCGGCTCCTTGGAAATTCGTGCCACAATCTGAATATATGTGACCTGGTACGCCTCGTCGTGCTGAGAACCGTCGGAGACACGCGAAGAATGCTTCTGTGGATGGATTAGTCACTGCCTCCTGATGAACTGCTTTTGTACTAAAGCATATAAAGATTGCAAAATATGATTTCATTGACCTTTGACCTCTTCCCTTAGCCTTGAGAATTGAGGATGGGCCTGCGTAGTCAACTCCAACATGTAGAAATGGGGGATTTGGAGTGACACGAGCAACAGGTAGATTTCCCATTAATTGTTGTGAAAGTTGGGCTCGATGTCTCCTGCAGATGACACATTTGCGAATGATTTGACGAATTGTGTTTCTTCCTCTGAGAATCCAAACTTGTTGTAGGAGGGTTGACCATGTAGCTTGAAATCCGCTGTGAAGATTCTTCAGGTGACAATCTCGAACGATGAGCGTTGTGAGATGATGATCATGGGGTCGAATCGCTTGGTGTTTTGCCTCCTCGTGTATTGGTGACCGTGATAATCTGCCGCCCACCCTGAGAGTTCCTTCTCCATCAAGAAATGGATTGAGTTGGTGAATGTTTCTTGTCTTGCAAACCGATTTGGAGTTTTGCGAATCGTTAATTTCCGCCGCAAAAGAGTCTCCTTGTACCGTTCGAATTAGTTGAGTCAAACTATTCTTTAGCTTGGATGGACTTATTGGACCAGTGAACTTTTTGGATGGGTATCGGGTATTTGCAATGAATCTTCTGACGTATGCAGAAACTCGAACGAGGTGCGAAAAACTGGATGCCTTTTCAATGAAAGATTAATCTGTTTTAACATGGTTTACTTGAACTTGCTTTTTCTCTTCAAGCTCAGGTACCTCCTCCCCCTGAATTACTTCTGTCTGAGGTAATTCAGGCTGATTTAGCCAACTTGGACCTGTCCACCAAATGTGATGGCTGGTTAACTCGGCTGCGAAAATTCCACGGGATGCGCAGTCGGCTGGATTATCTTCGCTCTTTACGTGTCGCGTCTGATGATGGAAACTGTTCCTGGATTTTCGCTACTCTGTTGGCGACGAAAGTTTTCCATCTTCCGGGAAATGATGCGATCCACCTTAGAACGAGTGTTGAGTCGGTCCACATTGTAACTGGGTGTTGCATTTTGCATGAGGTTTGCACCATTTCCATTAACTCTGTTAATAGTACTGCGCCACAGAGTTCGAGTCGAGGTAGCGAATGTTGCTTAACTGGAGCCACCCGAGTTTTTGAGGCAACTAAACTGACCTTGATGATCCCAGCTGCTGAGCCTGACTTGAGATATACAATTTGAATTCCTCTTGTCTGTCTGCAGGGTTTCGTTAATGCCAGTTTTAGGGGCCTAATGTCATGTCACTGACATTAAGTGACAATAACCGGCATTAAGTGACATTAAGTGACAAGTGACATTTAGCCAAAAATTGGGGGAAAATGAGAAGGAAATCAGTGCGGATCATGATTTTTATCCCAACCGGTTGAATTTAAGGCAAAATTTATTACAAAATTATAGTTTCTCATACATTAAAACACAATCTTAATTTTAAAGTTCAGGGGACCCAGGTTAGATATGTGGGTAATCTTTAATATAATTGGCTACTGATTTATTGGTATTGCATTGCGCTAGTGTCAATTTGTACCTGTGCCAATTATATACGCGAATACACCGGCTGGAATGAAAAATCTCACGATTTGCTTTAACTTCCATCTCACCTTCCCCAATTTATGACTTGATGTCACTTGTCACTTAATGCCACAAAATGTCAGGTGACAATAACAGGTTATTGTCACTTAATGTCAGTGACTTAATGTCACTTGTCAATGTCACCCGAAACCCTGTCTGTCTGTCTGTCCGTCTGTCTGTCTGTTCACGAGTTTTTTGCATCAATTGATGCTAATTAATTTGCCCCATGTGCAAATTAGTAGCACCATTGGTCTCGAACAGTCGGTAACACAAAATCGTGCCAAACAATTGAGAACATAGATGCAAAACACACCAAACGTGCATAAGAATCGAAAAAAATAACTAGAATTTTTACTTCGAATTTGTCACGATTTTATGTCAAAATTATGGATGCATTTTCCTCGTTTATTTTCCACCATTGATGGAAAATTATATCACAATTATGTGTATCTTTTGTCCGCCCATTCTGCACCATTAATGCAAAATTATGCCAAAATTGCGTGTCTATTTTATCTGCCAATTCTGCACCATTGGTGCAAAATTATGCTAAAATCATTATTACAGGGTGAGCTACTTCTAACGTTACAACGGTTTATTACACATTATTGCCAGATAAATATATATCTTTGGGGGAATCAATATTTTCGAGGGAGGGCACCCAAAAGAGTAATAAGTTGAAAAAACCCCCAGCGAGCTGGTCTCTTACATACATAATTTCAAATTAATAGGTGGCGTCAGGGTGAAACACATATGGAAAATAAATGTGTAATTCTTATCAAGAGCTAATCAGAGAAACCGATAAGGATAAAAAAATTGGTCGTTTACACGAAAAAAATATTGAGGCCACCCATTCATTCATATATCAGCTTTGTTACTCCAGCAAGGAGTAAATCGTAAACCCGGAATCGGGGAGGTGGGCAACTTGATCCTCTGCCGCGGCGGAGACCGGAATTCCCCACGATTTCATCAATTCGGAAATACTGCGTTGCACCACAGTTGAAAAAATAATGAGCCAGGTGTCACGCTTCTCATCATCGTTCCTTGGTAGTTCATCCCCCGGAAGGTCGCGATACCTCTGGAACACCTCTTTGTAAGCGGCCCATCCAAAAATTCGTTCCAATTGGTAATAGAAAATTAGACCGCGGTCAAAGTCCCTTTGAAAATTTGGGTAGTTAATTCCATCGGAGATATACTGAGTTATGTACCTCCGAAGGTTTTCAGGCAGTAAGATGTGGGGACGAGTGTCTGGCATGGGGTGACCCAAGAATTGGTTCATGACGTACATCGAGAATATGTTGCAGGTAACTTCCGCTGTTTAAATTATGGATCATGAAACATTTTTAATTGTTGATTTCCACAGCAATAAAGCCTACATTGTATTCGTTTCATGTATATGTACAGCCAAAGAGCTGGTGCTTTGTTTCCTTTAGTCAAAATACAGTTCTTTTTTGGCAGTTTTAAAATTTCTGCATTTGGAACTATAGCATACTGTATGTACACGTGATGCCGCTAGGTGGCGTCAGGTTGAAAACAAAACAGCACGAATAACTTGCAAAAACACAGGCAAAAAGGAATTCAGCCTTACATATGCTTTTACTTTTTATCGACTCTTTGAAATTTTATTTGAACTTACAAAGCAAGCTTGTTAGGGGATACACTCAGATTTCGATGGGAAAAATGTTAATTTATACAGGAACCAAAATCAGCATAGCCGTATTTTTAAATACATTTTCTTGTATGCTCGATTTTGACTGCGTGGCGTAATTGTCAAAATAATTATCAGCCAAGATCTAAGGTTTTCAAAACGCTATAGCTTTTTGAATTTTCCCACGATTTCAAAAAATCAAGAACACGTACGCTTAGAATTAGTCCCTCTGCAATGCAAAAATTTATCTTTACAAAATTTTGCAAATTCGAATTTTGTCGGGAGTTTACATATTTATAAAATCAAAAGTTGGATAAAATTCGAATTTGCAATTTTTTTTAAATGAATTTTTGCATTTTATATAAACTAATTCTAAGGATACATGTTCTTGATTTTTTTAATCGCGCGAAAATTTAAAGAGTTTCAGCGTCTAGGAAACCTTAGGTTTTGGCTGAAAATTTTGCCACGCGTTTAAAATCGCGCATTCAGAAAAATGCAAAATGGTCAGCTTATTTGTGTTCCTGAACAAATTATCTGAATGCAGCCGCCAGCAACCTTGCATTGTTTGACAAGTGTACATACTTCCGCCTTCAAAGGTCCACTCGTCCCATTGATGGTTGTGCCCCAATTCATGAAAGAAACCCCAGTTGTCGCCCACATTTTGGCTATCTGCTGGAACGGAAAGGACCACACGTTCGCCGACAAATTCTGACCAAGGAGCACCAAAATATCTAAAATATAGAGGTAATATGAAAAATAGATAATTTATAGAAGTGAAATAAGGATTTCCAGTGCTAAGCCTAATTTTAGATAATGGGCAATAAGTGGGGGAAAAGACAGTGGCAGTATTTAGCGTCCATTAAAATCAGCGGGAAATTAGGAGATATCAAATAATTTGATGAAACGTTATAATTTTGTACATCTTTTAAATCGGTGGATTTTACAGTTCATGACGAAATGGTTTTAAGGCTAAACCGTGTCCAACAAAACAAGAACATCACCAGGGTATGCTACCCTAGGGTTTTTGGGGGTATTGGCTTTTTGCGGGTTTTGGTGGGTTTTGGGGTAGCAAATATGAGCAATACCCACGGGTATCGGGGTAGTCGGGGTTTTTAAATTTATTGAAGGGCACAATACATGACAACAGAACGACGCTTCTAAAAGTTAATTAGCTCTTAAAATACAATCAATAAGCTGTTTTGTGCAAAATTACTGAAAAATCAGATTCTTGTCACTGCTTTGAATTCTTGAATACATGGGATATTGACTCAGTTTGCCCCTAAAATCCCGACTACCCCGACTACCCGCAAAACCCAGGTGAAACCCGTGGGTTTGGGTTTTCAATAGCAAAACCCCGTGGTTTTCCTTACCCTGTATATCACTACTACAGCCGAAAGGAGCAAGGGTTGTTTAACTTCTAAAGCTTTTAACCCCAAATTGGAATAATCTGCGATAAGCAATACAAACCTTAACCGGGCATTCTACTTTAAATAGCCATCTTGGAATAATGGGATTAGTTGACGAGGACACTTGCCTATGCGGCCGAGGCCCTGAGACTGTATTTCATTTTCTTCGATCCTGTGACAAGTACTGTACCCTAAGGTTAGAACTATTTTGGAGGCACGATGTGCCACCAGAGCAAATTGTGACTATGTCTCTGCCCGATCTAATTCAATTTATAATCAGATCAGGGCGGTTTGCAGGTCAAGTTACAGTATGTAACGAAATTAATCATAGGGTGCGCATGAGTCCCACTCTTTCGGTAATGACTCATGCTCGCTTTCAAATTTCGACATGATTCTTTTACCATTTGTTCATCAAGTATCTGTCCGCATATGTGCAAAATTTCAGACAAATTGGACTAAATTTAATTAGTTCACGTAAAATTGAATTTAAAAAAATGAAAATTTGACGCAACAAAATTAATCATAGGGTTTAATTTGCTGCAAAGTTGCATTCAATATTTATCCTACGTGAAAAATTGCAACCTTCTCGTTAATACCGATTCAACAGAAGATATTTCTGCAGTTATTAATGCATTTTCAAATAAAAAATATAAAAGATGGCTAAATGCCATGAAATCTGCGTCGAGAAGAGAAAGCGAGTTGTTGCTCTTCACAAGGAGGGGGTTGGTTACATCAAAATCGAAATAAAAGTTGACATCTCATTGTCAACAACACTATCAATCATCAAAAAGTGAAAATCTGCCGGAAACGTGTTGAAACGGTGCGGACAAGATCGAAAACCCAAGACAAATCCTAGGCAGGATGCTGTGATTATGTGGAAAGTACGAGTAAACCCGGGGCTGTCAGCACCAAAAATTGAATCTCATATCCAAAATGAGTCCGGTATTGTGGTTCACACTCAGATGCACCGACTTAAGTTCAAAACTGTAGGATTATCTGGAGGTTTGCCAAAATGAAGCTGTGGCTCTCGCAGAAGAATTATAAAAAACGGCTGTCTTAGGGAAGGAGAAATTTGGATGGTCAACTGATGACCGGAAGAAAGTACTGTTTCCGAATTTGACCGGAATCCTACTCTACGGTACGGATGGAGTCGTCGGAGTACGATGAGAACCCAAGAATGGTTTGAAAAGTCGAAATATCCAGCCAACTGTGAAACACAGTGGACGCAGGCAAAAACTTCCTTTCGACAACTCAGGGACTCAGCTCCCAGATTTTGTTTTCTGCAGTTAGGGTCATGGTATGGGGCAACAAATCTTAGAATGACGTCGGCACGTCGGACCTTATCGCTGGTGTCCTGAAAAAGGAGGTCTAATTG